AACTGCATGAGCGTTTAAAATATAATTAAATTAAATCGAGCGAAAGAAAATCAAGTAAGAGGGACGATCAAATAGGAACAGTGGATCTAATATTAAACGCTTGTTTATATTGAAACAAACGTGCAAAACGAGTTGGGTAGATTATATTTCGACGGATAACGGTCGATCGATAAAACGAATACTACCTGCAGGGCGCCTTTGAACAGCCAAGGAGGGAATGCCAATATTATTTTAATAGTTCAACCACTAGATATCGACCATTGATTTTAAAATAACAACACTTATTTTAAAAAAAAAAAAATCTACAACCAGATAGAGTATTTATTTAAGTATATTTTGGCGTTGAAATTTTCGATTCCCGTGGACGAGATATTTTTCTCTTACGTTTGAATAATTAAACTTGATAATGGGATACTTCTTCAACGGGACCAACGGGAATCGAAAATTGTAACTCCAACATGCGTTTGAAATTATTACTTCGTCTGATTGTGGATTTTTTTTTCAACTATCGAATATAAGGGTAAAAAAATATAAAGTTTTATACGATATTGTAGAAAATTAAATGTTTGAAAATAGTCAACAATTGTTGACAATAATGAGTGTTCCACGATAGAAGATTCACCCTGTATACATACAGTAACTTATAGTGCGGTATGTCAAACGAGTAGGTCGCAGTATTCTCTGTCCGTATCTCTCTCTTTCTCTCTCTGTACACAAATTTCTCTCTTACAGTAGCCGAACGTGTGCACCGAGACTTGTCGAAATGTCGCCGAGTCCTTATTCGGATACTTATAATCCCGCCTATATATTTACACTGTGACACGGCATAGTCGTGGGCATCGCTCGCGGGTTAAAATAATATTCTTAACATCTCTAAAACAGTTTTGTGTTGTTCGACTTAATGTCCGCGAGTCGATCGTTCAATATCGTTGTTCTATACATTTTTTTCGCGATCGACACAATCGTGATATTGAACGCGAAATGCGCGTCGCCCGGATAACGCAATGAAAAATTGACGATTCGATATCCGGTATCTAATTCGGAAATAATTATATGTGTATTTGGAAAAATTTTTAATATAATAAAAAATCAATATTAGTTTCTCTGATTTGCATATGCTCAAAGATGCAGATTCGTCTAATAAAACATATTCGGACTCCAAATACTTTTTCCAAAATAATTTGTTTTCGTTTTACTTTTTTTAAAAATACATTTTCGATTAGGCAAAAGTTTGGACTTTTTCACGCAGTGCCTCAAATGATGCGGAATTCTTTTCTGGTGGTACCCGATTTTAAATATTTATCAATGTTTCTAGCAATTTACTCTTAGGTCATTATTTTTTAAGATTTCCGGTGACCTCAGTAACATAGGAAAAACGACGACTGCAATGCTTACACTTCCGCACTGAATCGTTTTTTCATTTGCAATGATTTATTATTTACCCAGTCTGTATCTCCACATGTTAATTTACCCGCTTACAATAGTGGCCTATCTGTAAGAAGTATCAACTCAGTTTTATTTTAAGATCTAACAAAAATGTACTTCTTTCCTATAAAAAAAAAAAAAAAAAAAACCGTATCATCAATTTAAATACATTTAGCTATACGGAATCATCAATACAAATTATGGATTCATAATGCCTAAAAAAACCCATACTTATACGATTCAAATTTAAAATAATGATTTAAAAAAAAAAAAAATTACAAATCGTAGCCTACTATCTCAGCTACAGCTCGTATTCCCACGGAACGCGTGGAGAGTAAAATTATACAATCAAGTAAATACGTGACCTATAATATTATAATGTATATTTTAGTCTTAGAGAAGTCAATTTTTAGAATTTTTTTTTTTTTATAAATTTCCCCTTTCCGCGCTTTAATTTTTAGTCTAAATGGTATATTATCTGTATGAATTTTCGGAATCAGTGTATGTGCCGTAAAGTTAATTTAATCCCTTATTCTCCGGGACCGAAGATTATAAGAATATTTCCGACGATTTACTCCTTGAAAAAAAATCCACGCACATTGTATTGTTGTTCCTATTCATATTGTCGGCCTGAATATCCTAATATCTTGAAACCGGATTATATTATTATATCGTCTAAAAACCGTATTACACGAACGTTCTCGGCACACGAAAAAATATCCTATGTGAACTTCAACGGAGGGGCCTTTGCATCCGCGTCCATTCATCCGTTGCTTGATATATTTTAATCGCATTATATTTTGTTTTTAATGACACGTGATCTACTTACATGTGTTGTTTCGGACGGCGATGTGATACGGTTGTGCCGACGAGCGTCCTTTTCGCCTAAATCCTTTAAGTTTCGCCGGCCCCATCGCCTACTGAAATACCCTATGTTTTCGACGAATCCTTTGATTCTCTGTGAAAACGAGCACCCCTACTAACAATGTCCATATTGAATCGTGCGCCATGCTCTTTCGCGTTACATAATATTATATTTGTCCGATGCGAAATTCAACATAATAATATTACTATAGGTAGGTACATATCGCTTCCTAAAATTCGCCTTTTATAACCGCACTTATACTTGGTAGAAGAGAAAAAAAAAAACGTGATATACTTCACACCGTGGCCAGGCTGTTTTCGTGAATCGGAATTTTTTGGGAGTATAATAGTAAATATGGTCATATAGTTTACTATACTGAAATAAACGATAAATCATTAAGATCAAAAACGATTCTCAACGGAGCTCGGTAGTAGACCGATAATATTATAGTATTTCAGAAAAGGTGATACACGTAAAAATCGGAGCAAATCCTCTGGTAAAATAGTTATCCACAGAAAAGAAAAATAAACATCTTTGTAAAACCATAAGCTTCTTCGCTCCACTCGGAATCTAAAAGTCGCTCAACCTAATATTATGCGCATTGATTTAAATATTTTTTCAGTGACTTCATTTAATTGATATTAGATTAAGGACGCGTATAAGTTGATGACCATACAGTTTAAGTAACTGCAGTGTGTAACACATCCTCAAACGGAAAACAAAACAATAAATACTTTCCGAAATAACGTGTGGAGTGTCTCAGGTTATGTCGATCGCCCTGTATATTGTATTGATCCCAAAGTTATTCCCAACGTTTTATAAAAACCTCTCTCGTTCGCTCGCGTCGAAGCGTTACGGACAAAAATACTCGGCCCTACATTATTATATAGGTATATATATTATATCATATCTATTCTATTTTCAATAACAATTTTCACAGTTCACACCCAGTTGATCACTCTGTATATTACTAGGCATTGTATTATATTAAAAAAAAAAAAAAAAATCTCCCACTCGATTGAAAACATCGCGAACGTATTGTCGTATATAGTCAACAAAATTGGATTCGTCGGCATCACCCCTTTTTTCCGGTCGATTTCACCGCGATCCGTTGCCCGCTGATATGCGTTCGCCCAATAAGTGTAGGTACACAATTCAACAGTGGAACAACAACGGCGATGGTTTTTTTTAATCAAACACCACCATCGTTGGGCGGTGTTAGAAAAGCGGTTGTAGAACGCGAGAAAAATATATGCGTAAAAAAAAAAAAAAACCCCACTACTATAATAATAATAATACCTGTACGTTTTCTAGCTTCTTTATTTTTTCAATGCATACAGCGCTCGTTATAATAATTATTATTATTATCATATAGTTTTTTCTCCGTTTTCTATTCAAACCCCGAGTATATTATTATGTTTTCGCCAACGCATTCCCGATCCACTTTATTGTTATTGTTTATCCATCGGCCATATTATCGGCTCGCGTAGGTATACCTCTCTATGCACGTATTATTAATATTACCGTCGGTGCAGCGCCGCCTTTGGAATTTTTTAATTAAAATTTTGCTATAGGACAATACTATATATTTTTTAGACGGTCCTAGCGACGCAAAGTACAACGATTATTATAATAGTAATACAGGTATACAATATGTAGTTTATGCGGAACGCGCGCGATGCAATTATACCGGGTGTCGATTGTTTTCGCTATTTCAATAAATCTCAAAGGTCATTATTATATTAGTAGATACTTACTCAAAACAATTGAATTTTTGCCGTAAAGTTATTTGACTTGTCAAGACTCTTCGTGTGTTGTTTTATTTTTTCCTAGGTTTTAACTGCCGGCAGGCATATCTTGTCCCTGCAGTTTTCAGCGTCGTATTTAAGTGGGGAGATCGGAGAGATATATCTCCCTTCTTGACTTTTTTTTTTTACGAGTTTGAATGATAATCATTATCATAACATTTCAATGTTAATTTTGAGACAGAAAAAATGATAAAATACTAACAAAAAGGAAATAAATTTAAAATTGTATCTTTTTTTTGTTTTAGCGTGAGTTCAAAATTCGATATTTTCTTCCTTATAAAAATCCTAAATATGCCACTGGCAGTTTTCATAATATTATTTCTCTTGCTTAGCAGTGTATATAATTATTGTGGATAATCGATGAAAATAGATTTTATAATAACTCACCAAGCTCCTACATTTATAAATTGTAAACTCGATGATTTTCGGCAATTGCTTCCCTGCGATAACAGTAAATCGAAAATCTGCGGAAGAAATAAAAACTTTTTTCTCCTCTGATCTAGGGATAGGATTATAGGGGTACTTTTCCCGAAGCTATAAAAAAAAAATATAGTGACCTACTACCTTGTGGATCGTCATAATGGTTTGAAGAAATTAGCATCTAAGTTTGAATCCAAACATCGCTACGCTTGCCACTAGTCGTAGAAAATCCACCACGAGTAATTAAGATTTCTAAGTTTGTGTACTGATTCGAATTTCGTCTTATCTCCGGGAAAAGTAATCGACGCCCTCTGACCTATCCGAAGTAATTTTGCATAAAAAACAAATCAACGGTTATTTTTGACGACGTTCTAGGCATGACATGTAATGTCCTAGGATTTTGTTTTTTCATCAGATGTTCTAGAGAAGAACTAATTCCATCTTTGCATCATTATTCATTTTTTTTTTCTACTAAATGTTTTTTAAACTTTGTCTTTGAAAATTTTGTCTGGTGACTGTTTACTAATCTCGTTCAGTAAATATAACCACCTTATAGCTGATAATAGTACGGAAATCGGTTTATACGCCGTACCGTTTTTGATCGCGTATCCGATTGCTAAACCATCCAAAACCGCTGTGCTGTCTGGGGTCACCAGACGATTCGTCCTGTATCCGGTTCTTGTCGACAATGTCTGTATTTAAAACACATACACATACAGAATAAAAAGAACCCGATGAACCGAAACCTTATTTTAATTAGACAAAACATCAAGTACTCGATGTTATAATAGGTGTATACAGGGTGATTTGTTTTATCATGAACCAGCGATTATCTCAGAAGCTTTTAAGTGAATTTGATTTGTGTTTTTTTCTAATCTTTATGGAATCGTTTAAGCTTTATTTTAAACCATTTTTAATTCATTACCTCTACTTCATAAACCATAAATAAGTAGATTTTTTTGATTTTCAAATTGGAACCCCACTTTTTTAACACAGATTCTCTACTTAAAATCTTCTGAGATAATTGCTGGTTCATGATAAAAAAATCTGTATAATGAAGTATAAAGGAGCCGTGGAGGCGTTACAAAAAAATCCACTATATTTGTAAGAGAGGTCATAATTTATAATACAATTTAGCATTTACATGATAATAGGTGATGGGGATTAGCCTTCATAGCTTTCTCCTTATATCCACCTCTGAGTGTACAGAGTGGATTTTGATCGTATTCCGATGAACACTTTTAGTGTTATCGTAAATTTTGTCCGTCAAAGATGATTATTAATTCAGAGAACGGATTTGTATTCATTTCAAATCCACACAAAAGCGCTTACAAACGTCATAAGACACATAAAAAACATAAATGGCAAAGAGATTAAAAATTATCCCTCTACCGTTGATGATTTTTTTTAAATAATTCTAAAGTGCTTTTTTCGAAGGTTTTTTAAGCGCTTTTTGTGAATTTTAATTGCATATAAATCAATTCCCTAATGATTATATTAGCGTTTGTTAGTATTGCAGGTCAGCAATGACGCTACGAGAATACATATTTGAATTTTATTTTCGGGTTTTAAAACATTTTTTTTTTTTTTTATAATACGTTTCAATTAAGGGAGATAACTTAATAATATTGTATAATTTAAACGTTGACGTTAATTTATTAAAAACACGGAATACACGTCAAAAGATTTTACCAGACGATTGCGTATACCTACCCGTCTCCGGCCGTTTCAGCTACTAGGTATATTATACGGTACACGGTTAACGTGTACCGGTAGTAGGTACTCAACAGTTTTTTTTTTTTTTTTTTACGAATTAATAATACAAAATTAACAAGTGTGATGTAAATGC